CTAGAAGAGAAAGAAATAAAGGTCTATTCCATCTGTGAAATGAATTGTTAATTTCTTTGATTTATTATTCCTCAAAAGTTGGTGGTGTGGGGTAAAATTAGTCCCAGGGTTTTGCCATGCTGCAAGCTGTGGGAATTTGTTGTTCTTTATTTATATTTGTTTATTTGTATCTGCTATAATTATCATTGTGACAACATACCAGAACCCAATTCATAGAGAACTAAATAGTGTTCTGTTGAATTTCTTGTTTTCTGGAATTGGTGAGTAATATATGTAATTTAATTTATGGATTATTGTTTATTTGGTGTTGGTCACTACCCTTTATAGTGCTTTTTTTTTCTCGGAAGATTTTTAGCTTGAAGTATTAAAAACAATATTAAACAAATGAACCACATTCATATTGTTCCTTAGGTCGAAGTATTATTTTTAATGTGCTTTTCAAGTTTGTTTCTGTTTTTTTTTTTTTTTTTTTCGGTAACTAGAAAGAAATTAGCAGATATTGCCACCCGAGAGTGGATGGGGAGCATTGAAGAAACAAACCCAACAAACAAAAATAATTAAAATAGCTTTGGCAAGAGATTTCTTTCTAAGTTCTAAAATTAAAGAGATAAAACTGTATTTTAAGAACAGCATTCTCACTCACTCCCTGGTCTCTACGCTGATACAGGGTTAACTTGCAACTTCCAAAGCTCCAACTAAAGTTCGAAAGTATTAAGGTAAATAAAGAAAAACTTCTCAATCCCAAACACATAAGGTGTTTCGAAAAACTTCCCAACACCACAGTTCAACATTTTCACTCTCCAGGAGCAGAAACGCCTTGCTTCAGTCTCTCCCTTTTCAGCTTCTTCTTCGACACCGGCTTCTTCTTTTTAGGGGGAACAGTTCTCTGAGCATACACGTAAAGTGCGTAGTTTCCAACCAGGAAAATCACCAGTAGTCCAACAACAACAAGCAACACTATCAATCCAGGGTTAAACCCTTTTGCAGCAGCCTGCAAAATCACCCAAGCAAATTACATTTCCTGACAGACAGACATACAAATGGAAAAAGTAAAATAAAAGCAAGGAAAAATGTCCAGGACTAGTGCAATACACCGATCAACATTTGCCTCAAGTACGCTGTTATCCCTACCTATTGTTGTGTTATTCATTTTCTTCATTTAACTGGATATTAAATGCATACCCTACATGGTAAAACCTAGCAAAGATGCGTTGGCATCCAAGATTCAGAACTAACTCAACTTGAGCGGAATTTTTTCCCTTTACTTTCAAACTGGTTACATCCCACTCCCGGCCCATGATATATGCATATAAAAACTAGTGAAGATTCCATTGGCTTAGTCCTGCTATTGCTTCAACAATTACAAATGAAAAGGGGTTTTGAAAAAAGAACCTAGTTAAATATAACAATTTCAGAACGGAGACTAATGACCATAAACTTTGCCTGCTAGGACCCTGTATTTGGAAGGAATTTTCTCTTCGTCACAAGTCCGCATTAAATGCATAATTGTATTATGAGAACAAACAAATGCACAAAAACTGATTTATTAGGAAACATTGCAAGTGGACTGAATTTTTTCACAGTTTCCTCATTAATAAACAAAAGCTGGATTAAATCAAAGCTTGCATAAAGAAGGAAATAATGATATTCAATCCCAATAAAGTCTTAAAATATAATTCATCAAATATATATGGATATCACCTGGAAGAATGTCTCAGATTGACAAGCACATACATGCAATGCAACCCACCCGCCCAACTACAAACTTCGTAGCAACATAGAAAGTGACTCATAAATGCCAAGAAAATTTAGGGGGATATGGTAGATATCCAATATCCACAAATACCAGCTATCAGCTGAGAGGAGGAGCCTAGACATGTAAGAACTACAGACACTCTCTGAAGGCAAGCCATACTCGGTCTTAGCCTGACCCATCACATGAGTTGGTGAGACTCAAACCAATGCTTTGAGTTCAATACCACCAAAGCCACCCACTGGGTGGTTAGCTAAAAATATACATATGATATATCTAAATGGTAAATCTATTATATTGATAACAAAAACCCCAATTACATGCACATAGGTTCCACCTAATTACATGCATTTCAAGATAAAACGATTACAATCATTCCACCTAATTATGCAGACAGATTCCTCAGCATCTGAATCTCTGATCTCATTCATTGAGCTCACAGATAATTACAAGAAGGGAACAAAATGCATCAACAAGGAAATAAAGCATTTGCTAACAAAAGTCCCTGCAGAATTAAGGCTGTGCAAACAAGTTTCCAAATTCAATCATGAAAAAAGCTTAAAATCTGCATTTTTATCCAAGTTTTGGAAGACCAATTCTCAGATCATGAAAATCTTTTCCCAGAAAATGCATTTCTATCTAATCAACCAAAACACAAAGCCAGAGAGCTAATATTCCAAACAATCTAGCCATGCATGCATAATATTCGATCAACAGAACCTCATAACAGCTCAAAGTGAGCAATCTAAATTCCGATTTCACAAATACAACATCTAAAATTACAGCACAAATCGGCAGGAGATAATTGGGGTTCCTGTGAAATCATACCACGCCATCAAACGAAGGGGGGACCTTGTCCGCGAACTCGAACTCATCAGCCATGGCTGTCCTATCGCTCTGAGCCTGAGACTCGAGAGATCCGGCTCGCTGTATCAACTCTGGACCAGAGAGAAGATTCCAGAAAGACTAAATACGAAGGGTGAGATCTGGTAACGTATGGAATGGAGTTGGGTCTGTTATAATTGGAAAGTGAGGTGGTTGGCCCTATCAGATATGGCCTATTGGTTTGACTTGCTTCTATGATTGCCAATTTGCCCATTAATGGGTTTTTTCTCATGTTCACATTTGGGGTTGAAATGGGCTTGGAATTGCTCATTGCACTCAGTCCATTGACAACCAAAGCTTGGAGCTTCCAAGAGGATGACAGAGGATTGGAATTTGCAGGTCAGAGCTATTTGGGCTTCTATATGGATCTGTTAAAAGGCCGATAAATTTTTATGCATTGTTATGCCTCCGAAATTTTAATTTGAATCTCAGTTTGCATGAAGCTGCAAGTATGTGTTCCACGTTACCCAATTCTGTGAACTTCATCCATAAAATCCTTGTATGTTGACATGGTGCCTAGATGGCCAAATACCCAATTAGAGTTTATCACAACTTTGTCATTAAACCCATTGGTTCTATTTCCACAAAGAGATAGAGTCTGCATGACCGAATCCGAATCGACTAAAACTATGTTTTCTATTTTATACAAATAATAGTCTAAACTACAATAGGGAGATGAATTTTTACACACACTATCAATATGCCATAAGAATTCGAACATAAGATCACTGATTAGCAAATCAACCGAATTCAGACAACTTGGACTTATTCGAACCCAATCTTAAAAAATGTATTCTTGTAACTAAGACGGCACCCAAAACCATTGGCTAGATGGCACGTGATTCATAGGTTGTCTCCAAATCCTTTTCCCATCAAATACAAACATCACTTATCAAACTCAAAATATTCTTTAACCTTGGGGATGGCAAACGGAGTATGGTACTAGGAGCACATGGGTTGATATGGCGGAAACAACGAAACAAGGGCTGCCCCACGGAAATTTCAAATCGAGTATCAAAGGTGGTTAGGAATGCTTCGTCCTCAAGCCTTAATAATGGCTCTCTTTTTAATTCTGGTAAGTCTCTGTCCTTCGGGTGAGGCCCATTTTCCTCTTAGCTGCCATATCGGCCCACATACCACTTGGCATTTTATTTTTCTAACGCACCTAATCCATAAATTTTTCATGTTTTTTAGCTCATTAGTTTTCAGTGCTGACAAGATTCTTAGTTACACATGTTTAAACATAATTATTTTATATGGTCGGTAGAAGGCACAGTATCTAAGATTCTGGGCTCTCTGAATGCATGAACTGAACTGGTACGAATTTTAAAGGGTGCTTATTTCTTCATCCAATTGCTGAATGCCACTTCAGCAAATGGTGGTTTTGGCTTCGCTCTTCGTTTTCTGTAAAATTCACAGAAAACAAAAAGTTAAAAGTAGAGCTGGGTAATTTTTTTATTACAGAGAGGTACAAATGTGACGCGGGAAAACACGCACCAGGTGGAATTTTGGCAAAACTATATTCGTGAAAAGTACGTAGAGGAGTTTAACTTGAGGCTTTCATATTTGTTCAGTTCGGAGTTGAGACAAAAATATTTTTATTTAAAAAATCTAAATGGGCAGTTTGTTTTTTAATTATTATTATAAATAAATATGATCCCGACATGGTGAGCTGGATGGGGGCCACATGGAGGAGTTTTAGGCAAACAAATTGCCATGCAATTTTGCACGTCATGGTTGGTGGATTGAGGTTTTTACTGCTTTTACCATGATCCCATGTTGTCACAGGTTACAAGTAGCATTTATTTTCATTAAATTAAGGCTGCAAAGCTTGATGGGAAGTAAAAAAGGTAAAAGTGTGTGATTGCGAGGCACTCTCTCTTGTAGTAGGAGGCAGTAAACGGATAAAAACGAGTCGGGTGTGAAGAACAAAACAGACCCAATTATAGAAACATAATAAAAATGGAAAAGCAAGCTAAAAGTTGGAGAAGAAAACAAAAGAGAGAAAAGTGTGCCTTTAATTTGATGCAATTAGAGCTTGAATTGAAAGGGAAGATTGTCCATTCATTGCATTGCATTGCATGATAAAATTATGAGATAATCTAGTCCTCCCTTGCACACTAGTACGCTACACCCACCACCACCAGTCACTACGAAAGAAGAGTTTCCAAAAAGCCAATAATAAACATGCATTCCTTTTCCTATGCTATACTTTACCAATCTCCTACTCAAACTCTATGGTTGTCTACTTTTGACTATAAGATTTGACATTGCTTGTCCAACAAAGCAATCCTATTCCCACCCACCTCTACATCGGGACGGTGTGACCGTTACACTGAAAAATAAATAAATTTCCGACTTCTTAAGTGTAATTATTTATGTATACAAATAATTTAGTTAACACAAAAATTTTGCTGCTTAAGTTTGTGTCACTAATTACATACAAGAACAAATGAAATATATATATATAATATATATATATCAAATTAAATATACACCGTTAATTATGATTTAATCAGACGATGTGATCACCGCCGCCATGAAAGCTCAGTTCTGAAGAGGAGGTGGAGAGGGTGATCATGCCATTGCAGTCAGAAACACTGTCCTGCAAGCTCAACAGGAGATGTGAGGTGCTGAAAGTCGTGGAGGGTTTTGTTCTGGGGACAATTGGGACTTCAGCTTCCCCCACCAGCATTTGAACCACACCTCTCATGGTGGGTCTTGCAGAAGGGTCTGGGTGAGAGCAAGCCAGCCCAACCAGAAGCACCTTCCTCATCTCTCCCTCATCAAATTGGCCCTCAAGCCTTGGATCAGCCGCCATTAACAGCCTTCCTTCTTTGTGCAAACTCCACACCCACTCCACCAAATTACTACACACACCCACTTTCCCCACCCCACTTACTTCTCTCTCAATTGGCCTTCTTCCACTGCCCACCTCAAGCACCACCGCCCCAAAGCTGAACACATCGGTTTTCTCAGTCGCCCTGCCGGTCAGCAAGTAATCCGGCGCCAGGTACCCCATTGTTCCGGCCGCCACCGTGGCGTCTGGCGACTTATCGTGCTCGATTTGCCTCGCCAATCCAAAATCTCCCAGCTTGGCATTGAACCCTTCATCCAGCATTATGTTGCTGGTCTTAATGTCTCTGTGGATCACCTGGTTTTCACACTCTTGATGCAAATAGGCCAGAGCAGAGGCAACCCCAAATAAAATCTTTCTCCTGTGAGGCCAAGGCAGAGGCGTTCTTGCCTCAAACAAGGCCTTGTCGAGACTCCCATTGGGCATCAAATCATACACTAACAAAATTTCACCTTTCTCATGGCACCATCCTTGAAGCCTCACCAAATTTCGATGCCTGAGAGTTCCAATTATAGATAATTCCGACAAAAACTCGTTTTTCCCCTGGCTGCTGTGGCTGCATCTCTTCACTGCAACAATGTCACCTGTTTCTGGTAATATACCTTTATAGACAATTCCAAAAGCGCCATGCCCAATAATTCTATTGGCATTGAAGCACTTGGTGGCTGCCTTGAGCTCCCTATAAGTGAACTCCTTCGGCATTTTGATGACATCCGAAGCAAAAGAATTATCTGATTTCCTGACATGTTTGAATTTCTTAGAGTAAACCCAGATAAACACACCAGCAAACAGAGCCAAAACGAAAGCCGAAGCCGTCACCACGCCAGCTACAGCTCCTGGACCTTCTCTGCAGAGGTGGTTATGGCAAGAAGACGACTTGCTGTTCTTCTGATTCGTACCGCTAGTGTTACTAGACACCGAGGACCCACTTGGAGGCATTGAAGGCGGCGGAGATTTAACCGAATTGGCAGTTGGGTTCATCAGAGTGGTCGTCGGAGGCGGCGGAGGTGGTGAAGAAGACCCAGATGGCGAAAGCATCGAATCGAACGACGAGCTGAAGCTCCACCAGTCGACGCTGTGAATCTCCGTGCTGCCTTGGGTCGACCCGGAAAAACCCACGTACATGAAATCGCTGACGTACTGGCCCAGATCGAGCGAGTAGGACAAGACCGGGTCTCTGGGTTTCAGATTCGAGTATGAGACCGAGACGTTGATGACCCGACTCGACCCGTCGTACTCGATCCACGAGTTCACCAGGTCGCCGCTCTTGAGATCGACATCGATGGAGCTCAGATCGCCGACACGTGTCGACACCATGGAGTTCAGATCCAAGCCGACGTGGTTGCTGTTGATGTCCTTGAACTCGACGTCCATGAGTGTGTCGAACTCTACGGCGACGAAACCCGACCCGGGAGCCGAGCCCGACTCGAGGCCGAGGAAGCCGCCTGCGTCGCCTAGCTCGGCGTCGTCGGGGGCGATGACGAAGGCGAGGCCGCCACCGATGGAGGAGGGGTTGAGGTTGGTGATGGAGAAGGAGAAGAATGTGGAGAAGCTCGCCGGAAAGGGGGAGGAGGGTTGCCGGAAGCGGACGGGCTTGGAGTAGAGGACCCGGCCGGCGCCGGAGGTGGGGACCGCGAGGTCGCGGGTGAGGCGGACGCTGCCATTGTTGAGGTGGGCGTCGCCGATGAGCTTGAGGCTGCTCAGAGTGAGGGTCCCGAAGTCGAACTCAGTGGCCGCATTCGTAATAACAAGGAAGAAGAAGGGCAAAAAGACAACGAGTGAGAAAGTTGAGCAATGAAAATCCAACATTATCAGTGATGAGCAGCCATCAGAATTTTCTGTGGTGCTAGTGGAGGGTTGAAGAAGATGAGATGAAGAAATTTATGAAGTGAAATGAAATCACGGGGTTTTGCGTGAGGGGAGAGAGAGAGAGAGAGAAAGAGAGTGATGGGGAGGTTGTATTCTTTGCCTTAAAACAGAACAAAGCTGGGGAAGCAAACAAGGAATACTAATGGGGAGAGGGAGGGGGTTGCGGGGGATACAGAATCCAAAGGAAACAGGTGGGTGGGCATTGCGCCACGTGTCCCTTCGTAACGGTTATTTTTTCGGTGATCGTAGATAAAGCTAGGCTTTCTTTTACTTTTTGGCGTTGAGCTCGCGCCACTAGCTTTTACGGGAAATTTCTGCTCGCACGTAACGACAATTTGTCACGCTTTTAAAACCAATTAGTTGCTTGATGATAGTCAATAACGTGAGCCCTAATTGTCAATCCGCAATGTTAATTAATATGCTTAGCTAAAAATTGTCTGCTAATTCCATTATTTGTCATGGAAAATTTGTTAATTAGTGATGATTAAGCTAATGTTAAATAGTGACATAATAATATCTAGTTGCTGTTAAACATAGAAGTCTATGAAAATTTGGATTGTCATTTTCTCGGCACAATCCTTACTAATAATGTAACTTACGTGGTAGTAATATCAGGTACTAATGTGTGTGTGTATGTGTCAACGACAACGATATATACAATGGTGACGGTGTGTAGCAATGGTGATGGTGGTGGTAAAGTATGGCAGAGTTGTAGGTGATGGGCGTTAACGATGACTACAAAAGGCAACAACATTACTAGTATAGTGTGAGAGTGGCGATGGCTCAAGTCTTATGTTAATAGTGTAATGAAATGTTCTATAGATCTCATTTATTGGTTCCCTTCGACCTTTTTTTCCTTATGATAAGATAGCAGCGACGACTTATTGTTTGTAGGATATATGATTCTAAGATTGTTGTATTTCTTGGATTGTTTGTTGTTCTGGGTCTGTACTTGGAGTCAGCTTTTTCTTTTCTTATTTTTTGTTGAGCTCTTGTTTTTCTTTTTTTGATTTTGTATTGGGCTTTTTTGTAATCTCTGCTTGATAATGACGTGTGTATTCTTCCGAATAAAAATAGTGTATCATAATTGGAATTTTTTTTCTTGTAATGCTATTGTTTTAGGATTTGACAACAACGCAATCTTTTCGAAAAACGTACAAATCTTAGTTTTCACATGTTGAATATAAGCTTCACATTCACACCCTTATATTTGTATCATAATTTTTCTAATTTCTCTTTATTTATGTATTTATTTTTGGCCTTCTCACCTCCGTTTTTCTGACTGGAAATCAGCACGTCATGTTAAGTTGACTGTTGAGCACGCATGACATACGCGGCCCGTTGGGGCATATACAGCACACTGGCCACGTCACCTTCATCATGCTCCACATAACCACACGCCTTCAGGGTTGTTCCATACTTCCATTCCTATGTTTTTGGGCCATTAATTGTTGAGTTGCCTTGTGTAGACACTGTATGCAATGCACCATAATCATGTACACAATAAAATTGTTGCTTAACAATCTACCCTTAAAATTATGCTACCGTTAGTCGCAAGGCCAGCTCTAAGGGTGTGTAGATGGTATCACCGTACACGTTTGTAAATTTGTAAGATCCTCATATTTTATATGACATATATTATCCATATGTGTTTGCATCATATTTGTACTTCATGCAAAATTAACTCCCGCCGCAAATGGTATTGTTGCTTATATTTCAGTAACAGAGTGCGTTGTTGATATATGTTCAAACATAACCTTTAAAATCTAAAGGCTAACCTTGGTCGCGTGTGACTGTAATATCACAACGTCAATTTTTGCAGCTATTTATGCTTAAATAATAAGAGATCATGTCGTGTAATCGAAAATATGTCCTCTTATGTAAGAATTTGTGCCAAATGACGCAAATTGGTATAATGGTAATACTAGTGCGTACAAGAATGTGGAGCTATCATCTCTCAACGGAATAGTTTGAAAATTGGATGGTATTGTTGGCGTGCTATGGCATATGGGGACCCATATAGTTTGGTGGACGTGCAAGAGAGACATCTAATCACTTTAATCTTGTCTTGGTGGTGGTTCCATCGGAAAAGGGAGGTCTACGTCTAGGTGATAATAAGATAATATATATATGAGTGGGCAGTGGGACTCCGGGAACAAGAAGACCATTCATGTGTTTGGCAGCTTCAGTTTTAGACTTTGAGTTTGAGTGCGTTTCACATTTTCATTCTAGTTTTTTTTTTTCTTTTTCCCCATTATTTTATGACTTCAATTGTGCTGGTTACCAAGTTCGGGCACGTGCTTACGTTTAGAGCATCTTCATCTCAAGCTTTTTTTTATATATTATTATTAACACATCCCTTTCATTTCAATCTTTATTTTTTATCATTTCATGTTCACGTATCAATCCAACATTTCGGTTGAAGATGCTTTTACTTATCGTAGCTGTTTTACTATTAATCAATTAACTAATGAAGTCATGAATGATGAAATCTTGACATCAGACGGCTATCGATATGAATAGTATATGATCATATAGATCCAGAAAATCTAAACGGTCCACTAATAATATAAGTCTAAGCCACTGTACATATATAAAGATAATACATTTGTATATGTATAATAATAATATGATGATTAAAGATAAGGTTGTGGAAGTCTTTGATCGGTAGAAATATGATACATAAAATTATATATAATATTGAACAGCTGATCAAGGTAGATTAACAACAGCTGGGAGGCATAATAATGGAGCTAGTTCTAACATCACTTTTTTTTTCTTTACACAACCGATATTCTTTGAGAGTACTTGAATACGGAACTTTTGATGATGATTGAATTCTCTTAATCAACTGAGCTGCACTTACCTAAACGAGTTTTATTTATAATCAATTATGGCTACTGGCGCATGAACAATAACAAACTCAACAAAAAAGTTTTAAAACTTCAAAATCACTCAATCAATGGGACGTCCATGAACAATTACATTTTGACATTATGGTCATGTACTCAAATTCATGATCACTTTACACACTTCTCAAAATGTCTTCAATTTTCTGTTAAAAATGATTTTTTTGTGTAAATTTTACACATTTTGACATTATGGACATTATGATTTTCTGTTAAGATGATAATGAATTGAGGACATTTCCATAATTGTTGTGTGTAATGATAATTTAGGCCCTTCTGTTAGAATAAAACAACATTTTGATCTCTCTCCTTCAATCAACATTTAGGGTTTAATTTACCATTATACCCTTGAAATAATGGTGATGCGTTTTGATTTTGAAGTTTGATTAAGTGGACTAAACCTGGGTTAATTAATTTCAATGGACCAAACTTGAATCAACCACACATCCAAGCCCATACTTTCCACAAGCCCTTCTTTATTAAATGGATCACATTTCCACCCCAAGAAGTTGGCTATTAGTCTCAAACATTACATGACTAATTTGTATTCACGTATCGACAATCCTTTCTAACTTCTCCTTGGTCCCCGGTAAGTGGACTGTTCTCAGATAAAAGCAGGGCAGCCCTAGAAAACTGCTCAGTGAAGTAGTCATTATCAGAAGCCATCTTTTGCACAAACGGCAATGTAGCTGGGTCAGAAGCCAGTTCTGAATCCACTATGAGCAGACCCTTGTTCTTCAACAAGTTCTTGTAGTAATTGTTGTCGAGAATCATGGGCGTTTCGCGATCGTTCCTTGAGTATTGGACTGCACTGGGGTCTGGGATTGGGGTTGGGCACCGGCCTTTGAGGTACTCAGCATAGTCGGGGTCTAGGGTTGGATCGACGGTAGGGTAGAGTCTGTGTACAAGGTTCACACAGTGGACTCGTCCCACGGAATGAGCTCCTGAATTACAACAATTAGTAAACTACAAGTCTAAAATTGGAAAAATAGAAACTATATGTATTTAAAAAAAAAAAAAAAAAAAAAGGAACTTCGCCCAAACTATAAGAACCGAAATCGTAATGTAGGCTACATTTATTTAGAATTTATAATGAATTCGGATTAGAAAATGCCCAATTGTGTTTTGCTCATTGGGTTAGTGATCACCTTTTGATTAATTAGTTATTTTATGATTCTAATCCAATAGAATGATTAACTATTAAGTGTGATTTTGTACAACATTTTATCTTTTGGACCTAAAATATTGGTGAATTATATTTTAGGCACATGTGGAGGCCCCTACTCTCCTCATATATAATAAGATATTTGCCGACCCATTAAGCTATTCTTGAAGGATTGTATATGTAAACGGTAAATTAAAGTCTTCCATATTTGTTTTTTTATTTTTCTGTAATTCGTTAAGGAGGGGAATGAAGAGTTTTATATTCGGTTGCTTTGCCTCAAGATTGTATCTTACGTGAATCAAACCTGAGTGCACTTAGGGTGAGAGTGAGAGTTTAGATAACTTCTCCTGCGGTCCCACCCCATGTATATTTGTTTATTTAATAAGTTGCATACAATTAAGAAAGTCCAAGATAATGCAATATGCATTTACATACCTAAAAGGGCAACTGTTCCTTCAACATCGATGCCAACGGATTGGAAGCTAGAGAGCACTGAAGACAATGAATCATTGTGATTAGGAATGAACTCTTCCACGATTTTCGCATAACTCTCCTTGCTGTCTCTTCTTCCCGTTTTCATCTCAATGTGTGGCCCTCCTAACTGCAATTAATTATCATGTTCACACCACTAAATTTTCTTAACCTCTCTTTAATTTAAAAAAAACCTCAAGTGGAGATCTATTGAATTTTAATTATTAAATAATAAAAAATTACACCTGACTAGCCGGGGACAAAGAGTTGAAAGCGCATCTTAACAACGTTTAATGCAAAAACTTTAAAGTACTCATAAAAACGTTTTTTAAAAGAAGCATATGCTAGGTATTTCTTTTCTAGGAAATACTTTCAACGTGCTTCTAATAAAAACGATTATGAGTAGAATTACTTTTTATAGAAACAGTCAATAAAAACAAGCTTTATAACAAAGTATCGTAAATAAAAAGAGAGAGAACAAAAGTTAGGGAGAACGAAACGCATGCATATATATTACTATACATACCATGACAATACCATCTCTTGCAGAAAGAGCAACAACATCAGCACAAGAAACTGTGGAAGGACATTCATTCTCAACAGCCTTTTTGATTGTGTTCACGTACTTAAAATTTCTCATCCCAAAGCTCCTTCCAGATGCCTTCTCTGACTCTATCCCATTCACACTTTCTAACAATAAAGATGCATCACATCCCTACATATATAGCCACAAATTAATTAAGGTATAATCTTTTTATTTGATCTCTTTTTTACCTAATAATAAATTGACTAATTAGGTCTCAAAGTCAAGGGCACAACTCATACCTGAACGAAGCAATCATGGAAGAGATTTCTAAGCCAAGAGACGGCTGTATTTCCATGTTCATAGTATAGCTTGGTGACTTCTTGCTTGATGATTTCTTCAGCTTTTGGGCAACTCTCGGAGTAATAGTTTAGTTGGAGCTCACTTTTACCTATGCCAATCAAATTAAAACATATAACATTTTCGACCTAAATAATTAGGTTACGGCATAATAATTTGGACATACAAGAGTTTATATGATCAATAATTCAGATTGATAGATTGATTGGCAATGTATACAATAAAAATGCACAAACAAGATGGAAAAGTGTGGTGAATATGTACCAAATTGAAATTGCAAGAGCAATGGAAATAACGTAAGGATGATGAAGCTTGAGAAAGCATGGTGCTTATAGGCAGCCATCTTTCTAGTTCTTGGTTCGCTGCTTGCTTGCTTTGCTTGTGTGATCTATGTGAGCTATTGTGGTGGCCTTTATATTGGGATGTGGTGGGGTGTGCCTTGGGAGGATTGGATCGAAATAGAGACCTTGTAAGCCTCCTCTCCACCAAGCCACTTTCTTTGACCTTTCTGTCCCACGCCACGCGTGAAGGCCCACTCAAACCAAATATATAATTCTCAAAATCACAATATATAACACAAATTAATTAAATTTTGTGGTCCATCAATAATACCACCTTATTATATCGTTCATGATGTCATAATTAGATTAACCTTACGAAAAAAATACAAGATCATGCAACCATAGAACACAAGAGAATTTATGCGATTCGACTCTTAAGTTCACGGCGTAGGCAATAAAAAAGGATAACGATGTGCTTGAATATTCACTCACAAGACCTAACACACTCAATCTCTCAAAGAAGTGAAGAAGAAAATAAAAGGAAATTAAAATGGACTGAGGTGTAAGAAAGTATATGAAAGTGACGTCCTTGGTTGATCCCTTGGATTTTATATGGAAGAGAGACCAAGTTCATTTTCATTGGAGGAGTAAGAATTCTAGAGATATTATTGGATATGGATTTAATATACGTGGCATGCAAAGAAGTCGGGAACCAAGAAGATGATGTGTATGAAACAATTTTTCATAATAAACTTGGTTTTTCCTTATAAATTATATAAAAAAAACGCAATTAAAAATAATAATGAAATGGGGCTTCAATAATTTCTAATTAAAGGGAATATCGTGCAAGCTAGAGGGTAGCGGAGATCCAACAAATGAGTTAATATAGGCCTTCGTCAAACACTGATGTTCAAATTTAATTAAAAAGATAATGCACGAAAGTGGATGGTTGAGAAACGTATTTGGTGTTGGCAAATCTAATCATGTAGCTTGGAAGATCCATGGAGAATATGTCAAGCACTTGAAGGCATACGTATGGATAATATTTTCTTGGATTACTATATTTCTCATAGAGTTTTCATTGCTATATGACCAAAAAAAAGAAAGAAAGAGTTTTCATTGCTCATGTGAGTGTGCTTAGGAGTGGCAAATATAAATTATATAAAGAAAAACTTTGTAATGTCTCTTTCAATTATAGGTCGTGTTCCACTTTCCTTCTTAACTTTTAATTTGGTTATGAGCACCATAAACTTATTCGACCTATGTCGTTAGTTATATTAATTATTTTGTCAAATTGAGTCGGTTTCGTCTATTCAAGTTAGGACTTGCTTTTGCCCCTTACCCTAAGAGAAGCTAACTGAAAATGCGACGTAATTGGCGGTTGGGAGAATGTTTGCATGAACTACAAATTTATGAGTACTCGAGATTAAATTAGAAATTTAGAGGGTAAAGTGGAATAAGGTTGAAAATTCAAAGAGCATTGCTAAATTTTTCCCATTATATAATTAGTCCCTTGCAGTGGCGGAGCCACTCCTAGACCCGGAGTGGCCCTGGCCCCCCTATATTTTTATCACTCCTCTATTATATTATATATAATATATAGAATTTGTAATAAACAACTTAGAATTTAAGTTAAAATTTTCTCTAAAACAAATTAGACATTACTCAATTAAAAATATTTAGCTCTAAACATGTAAGTATTGAATAGTTAGGTGTTTTATATACTTGTATTTTCTCCTTCGGCCCCCCCAATTTTACAATTCTAGCTCCGCCCCTAGTCCCTTATATGATGAGAATTTCAATTAATACTATATGACAAGATCGAACTCATACGGCGAATTTGGGAGTTTGCCACTAAATATGAAAGCCCCCCACGATAATCAAGTTGAAGAATATTAGCCTCTAATTTTGGATTGTCAGTTGATTTGAGTGGTAATTGGCATCAGATTCTTGTAGATTAGATCCACTTCAAAGCCACTAATAGATTAAGGGCCAACACGCTTCATAATAAGAACGATTAGTGGGTAAATCTTTTTTTATTTTATTCCCAGTAAATATTTAATTAATGAATAATAGCACAAGTTGTGGTTGGAAGTTGGAACTTGGGAGGTCGTCCTTTGCTGCTAATCTTGTGATATAATAATAAGAAATGGACTATCTATTGGAAAACTTCAAAATTCCGTACAAACAACTTCAAAACATGATTTGATGGTTTGTTGTGTTGCTTGGTGCTTGGCGCTTGCTTTAAGTAAATCAATAAGGCCCAAATTAACTTAACCATACCTTGATGCATAAGTTTGGAAACACTCACAGGCCCAAAGGCAAGTATCCTAAGACTGAAAAAATATAGTCAAAAGCTCTCTCTCTCATGCAAAATTAGTCTAGAAATAACAAAATTTAATTGTTCCCGATTTGGGTTCCGACTTGGGCACAAGATACATAGTTTTGAAAGGAACGACGAGACGAATACAACTCAACGTAAAATATCAATTTTTAAGACTGAATTCTATTGTTTATTAGGTCAAAACAAAGTTGTTTAGGGTTATCAGGCTTTGCTATTAGGGTTTAGGCCTAATTCTATCGTTTTCCATTGCTATTTAGCGGTTACATGTCCTCTTTTCTATATTTCTCTTTAAGTGATTAATCACGTGAAGGGAAAAGGGTAACATGAAAAAACAGAATATATAACCCTGTGCGTAGGTAAGTTTTGGTGCCCTCAAAGGCCAAAGCACACAAAAAAGACAAGCCAAAGTGGAACATGTCACAAGGATCTTGGCTGAAAATGGATGTTGAAAGCCAGCTCCTTGTTATTCTTTCTCAAACTCTCACATCATGCTAGTGGTAGATCCCTTTATCTATTAGTACTTATCCTCTTGAGAATTCTATAGCATCGGTCAAATATGCACCATAATTATCAATGAAGCCAGTCCCACACTAAAGGTACATAATTATCCAAAGTGAATGATTGTGTTCAGGGTTGGAAACAATCATAACAAGCCTTGAGAAACTTCAAAATTTTGTTTTACTTTGTAATCTTCAAATTAAACTTCATGCATGGTTCTCTCATAAAATAATTGTAGCTCAAGTGATTAAGAATAATTACACATATATCTAAGATTCAAGTTCGCGTACCTCCCCGTTCAATATCGTTTGCATAACAAATAAACAAGCTTCCTTTATGAAGAACAACCACAATCTGATAATGTTTAGGCTGTTCTATACGAGCATAAGATAAATTTGTTCACTAATTCTTTGCCAATTGGCCAGCCGGCAGCCGCCATTCCACGTAAAAATGGCATTAACCACTAAAATCTAAATATTACTTTACGATTATAATGCCAAAAGCTTTTCATATTCAAGCCTTCCAAAGGTCAAATTCGAAACAATAACGACAATGAAAAAGCAAAAAGCAAAAAGCCAAAAAAAAAAGGTGCTCTGGCCTTTTGCCTTTGCACTCCTTTATTTATATTTACGTGAACATTTGCACACCACACTCTCTCTTTAACGACGCCCAAAAAACATTACATTTTTACAGTTGCAAAAGCTGTCGGCAAATAAAACCAAAACCTGTGTTAGGATTCCTGGTGAATTTCTGAAGCAACAGTTCTAGCCCAAAACTTCAGATGTTTCTTCATATCAGCAGCTGCAGAGACTCTTGGCAGCCTCAGATTTAGCAGCGGTGAATCTGGTCGCTTTATCAGCCATGCCTCTGATAAATATGGCCTCGTCACTTCAACTTCTCCCTCACCATCTTCATCTTTGTCAGCTGCCACTTCCACAGAATCATCATCATCTTCACCGTTCTGTAACTTCTTATTATTGGACATTCCGAGCCTCTGCAGGCCAGGCACTAAGCTCATCATTCTTGGGCTCAAGTGTTCTCTCTTGAACGTGAAGCCTAAATCCATGAACCCTTTAACTTCTTCGAGCTCCAGCTCCCCCAAGCTCCTGCAGCTCATGGATTTTTGTAGCTTTCTCGCTGCTGCTTCTGCTGCAGCATAGCCTGGTGATGATGTTGCTGATGCTGATGAGAGTGTTCTGTTTTTCTGGGGACGTTTTTGCTGATCAGATGAATGAGAGCGTTTTAACATTCTGTTGGCCAGCAGGTTTAATCTTGTTGGTCTGATTTTCTTCTTATTTTTCGGGTTGATTGAATCGGTCGAGTTGGTCTCATCCTCCTCTTCATTGTTGGAGTCATCCTAATCATTGTTGCAGCATATGCATGAGACATGGGAGAAGTTTAGAAATAGAAGAAACATCAGCTAGGACAAGTGTGTGCCTAAAATTCAGAGATAAAAATATTTTACAGCTCTTTGTTCGAATTAAAGTTATTAGACATAAATTTTAGTACTTGGGTTTTGCTCAGATTTAAATTTCAGCAACTGTGTTTTTAATTTGGTGAAATTGAAAACATGGACCAAATTGAAATCCCAGTTCCAAAAATGAATTTTGACTTCTTTTTTGTTTTTAAAAGTACCTGTGGAGTAGCGGTTTGTGGTGAATCTGATGAGTTTTCTTCATACAAAAGAGGTGAGAAATCTATTTCTTCATCTGCTAGAGGTGTGAAGGAGACGCTGGATGATGGGTATGTAAAAGAATCTGTGATGATTGAGTCCTGAGGTGTTTGATCTTCAATGGTACTTTTGGGGCCAAATAATGACATGGGCTCGGAGAAAAGAATGGTATGGTGAAACCATAGACGATCTATGGCTCCTAAAAGACACAAGAAACTGTAATTGTTGGCCATGGGGACTAGCTAGAGCTACTTGGTGATCACAGAGAGAGAGAGAGAGAGAGAGAGAGAGAGAGAAGGAGGTATTAGCAAAATAAATATAAAAATATATATAGTGGGTGGTTGTGGTTGTGATTGCGGGGAAAGAACAAAAACAAGTGAAGCAAATAAGCGTAGAAGTGGTGGAACCTCCAACAGTCCTAGAAGATGTGGTCAGAAATCTTGGATTCTATCAACTCCACACATCTTTAAAGACAAATTGACAAGAGCGGCAAAGCCCTCCATGAGACATAATGTTGTGATGATCAGTATATACTTGGGAATACAACAAAAATTCAGGCCTTGTCCAATTTTTTTTTAAATTTGTCCGAGGACCACATAGAGCCACCGAAGTTGGATCCCAGGACTCTAAACCTTATCCCTGACTAGATTAGATTAGCATGAGTGTGAATCTTCAACCCGTTTGGTAACACTTTCATTTTTGGTTTTCGGTTTCTATTTTTCATTAAAAGATAGAGAGGAAATGCGTGTAAGTTCAACTTCGGGGTCGTATATCTTGGACCGATTAGTGCTATCCTAATTAATTGGCCATTAAGCATTCTAATGATTTGAAGTTCTAAACAATTTTTTGTATAGATAAATGTAATAGTGGTTTGTCAATTTACAAACAAAAATAATGGAAGAAGCATAAGCTGCAACATCCCATGATGTGTATGTATTTCCCTGCAATTGGCTACAAAGTGGCAATCACTGAGTTTGCAGGCCTCCAGCCAATAACCCTCCTATATATACTTAACAGTTTTCTGATTCTACTCAAGATCCAGCATCTGAATTTCTTCTGAAACCCCTTGACGAGCTTCCCTCTTGTTCTCCTATCTCATCTCTGGTATCCCATCTGTTAGAAGAATGGACACTTTCGGCTGGTTCAGCTGGTCTGAAAGCCCTTCTTATACTGTTCCTCATGGCGCTCCATTCTATGGAGAAAGATGAGCGTCCTGATTGCGAAAGTTGTTGTTCCTTCTTCCTCCTATTTCTCACCTCAGCATGCCATTGCCTTAAAATGTCTGCCATTTGATCTTCTACTATCTTGCCTTTGAATTGTGAACCCATCTGTGTGAATATAACAAACAAAAGTTCAGAGATCAACTAAGTTTGATCGATATCCTTCAAATTATTTTGGCGACAACCGAAGTTGGTGGTCTTGTCAACATAGCAATGAACAACACTTGAGATCAATATACTTCACCTGTGTGACAAGTGCATAGAGAGGAAGAGTAATATAGCTGCAGAGGATTTGAGTTGTCACCCTGACAAATCAAAGGAATTTGCAATCATTAATGCAAACAAGGCATATGCTGATTTAGGTATCAGTATCATCAGAATTGATCAGATGCAAGTTTTCAGGTAGTCTTACGCTAAGAAAATCCTTGTAACAATGATCACGGTGTTCTCGTGGTAGCAAGATGTGAACCCGAATTGCCACTAAGAGCCACAAGAAGTATATTCTGTCATAAGTTAAGCAAAATCTCTAAATTGAACTCCTGCAGACTATATATGGGAAAGAAAACTCACTGTAACCCAAACGAAGACGGCAAGCTCAAATGCATTCTGCAAGGTCCAAATTAAGAAGTAAAATTAGTTAAGTAGGGTCTACTAAGTTATAAACTTCTAGACAAATGTTTCTTCGTTGTGATACGAGCAAAGGCGTACCACGAATAGAGTATAACGTAGCAGCACCAAGACAAATCTTGGTTTTCTAAACCAGAACAGATCATCGTTTAGTCGCACAAGAGGTGTTCCGACAATCACACTGTTCTGTTCTTTAATTTGTAGGGCCATTTTTGCAACAATATGCTCAAGCTTGGTTCCTAGAACCAGCACCACCTACAAACAAAAACAAAGTTAATGATTGTATTTGAAAACACATGAACTTTTATTTGTTATGTATACACACAGCAATTTACTTACCAAGAGTGGAACATAGGATAGCCAGAGATATACAAACCAGCCTGGTTATTAAGAGTTCAAACAAATGCCTATCAATAACACATTTCTCAATCTCAACACAAACTCAAAAAGAAATTAATACACACATTATGAGCAACAAGAATTCTTACCATACACATCCACCAGCATAAAAGCTGCTAGCACAAACCACATCAGAGGGCTGTGCAAAGAAAAGAGACCACATTAAGTTTATCAATTAACAATTAAAAAAAAGGGATGATCAAATATGTAAGAAATTAGTGTAATTAGCAACCTGATTGAAACCATGACCTTGAAATCTTCCTCCAACGACCGCTGTATGTACTTCTGGAAATCGAAGTTGTGCCTGCTCGGCAGATGAGCCTGCAGAAAGATACATTAGCAATAAACTTAACTGATTCCATCAAACAGTTATGAAATTGGTTTGCTCGACTTGAGTTCAATACCGCTATGAAGCCGTGTCTCATGGTGGTATAGTCAACTTTGGCCACTGAGTTATAAAACTGCCTGAAAAAACATTTCTGCTCCGTTTCACAACCATCCAAAACCGAGCCATTATTAGAAGTGTGCTTAGGATTAATTTAAACAAGTAAAAGCTCATGTTTGAAGGTGATCAAAAGGGCCTTACCAACCAGAGATGAAACGATGTCTCTGTACAAGAAGTCAAGTGCCTTCTTCCAAATGTTGTTTGCCTTGCAAATCTGAACCGATTTGGATCTGCATGCAAACCAGTGTCAATAAGCTAGCAAAGAAAATTTCATACTTGAGCTTCTTTTCCTTGTGCTACACACAGTGAAAGTGCTTATTCAGGTGACATAAACAAAGATTGACAATTTTTCCCTTCCAACGTCTTTGACATGATTAGATTAAGGGCTTTTCACAAATAGGCCCATTCTTAAAGTCTTTATGAACGAGTCGCGGTCAAAGATATCTAGAGCCGTATAGAAATGTAAAACATAATGGTATAATCATAATGCAGCCAAAGCTCATGTGCAAGATCTTCCAATTACAGGTGGCTCAGGCCAAAAAACAAATGAAAAAGAGTTCAAAAGACAAAGACTTTGCAACCATTTTGAGATATTTTAGAGGATTTTAATATGAACTCAGCAGCCTTTCTAAGAAAAGAATTTGGTAAGAGTCTGTCATCTCACCTACCCAAAAAAAGGAACATATTTTAAATTCAATAAAAACATGTCTAGAATCTGGTTCAATTCCTTTGAAAATTCAGCTCAACTTTTATTGGTACTTTTTTTTTTTTCCACTTGTACTTAATGGGACATACCGTTCTCAACTTGGTACTCCATTGTTCTAGTTTCTTGCTCCCAACTTTCCCAGCGCCTCATCTGCATATAAAATTCAAGATTTAAAAAAATAATAAAAAAATATAACATCATTTTCACATAATTAATTGCCTTAATAAATTAAAGCTTGGAATGATCTTGTAATGAACATACCTTGGCCCTCCCCAAAGCCATGGTGAGAACACTGTACAGAATATGCATAACCGCCAGCACAAAAATAAGTATGTGAAGTTGATGCAGAGCATTCTTCGTCATGAAAGCTACTTTTCCCTGCGGAAAACAAAAATCTCATGTGAATTAAATAAATCATTAAGCACCCAAATTACCCAATTAACTCCATGATCATCAAGGCACTTACGTCACCGCAAGAATCAGAAGCAGCTGCATCGTCCTCCTCTGCAAGCCGCCTATGCACTGTTTGTCTTAGTATTTCATCATACAGACCATTTGCGGCGGCCGAAAAATTCGTCACAATTTTATTCACAATCACAAAGTGCTCAACATCCTCTGTTTCTTTTTCTTCGTTTGCTTCCCTTTTTCGACATGGAAGCATGATGTCTCCTATCTTGGCTGGTATGCAGATTTTAGATATTGAATTTTGGGTTACCGCTGAAGAGAACGACAATCAAGCCAAGAATCCCACTATCTCAAGTCAACCTCCAATCACAACGTGATTGGTACAATTTATGTACAAATCCCTGTAATCATGTATTTTCCTCTTTTGTTATAGTTGACCACCGCTAGAATCCTGTATATATGGTGTATCTCAATATGAATCAAATCATCGAGTGATTCAACCCAAACTTCTCTCTTGTCTATTTTTCTACATGGTATCAGAGCTTTACAGGGGCTAACGCTCAAAACTCGATCCAACAGTTCCTATGGCCATCGACGAAGGCTCGCCTATCCCTTCTTCTGTCAATTCTCAAACCTCTTCCCAAATTTCTCAAACCTCTCAAAATTCTATCCTTTCCATGTCAGCCGCAATTCCAACCTCCTTCAATATCTCCCACATATTCAATACACCTATGGATCGTAACAATTTCCTCTCTTGGAGATCGCAATTTCTTGATGTCCTGGAAATCCATGACTTGGAGGATGTCGTGAAGAATGAAAATCGCCCTGCTAAAAGGCTTGAGGATGGCTCAATCAACCCCACCTATGCCAAGGACAAATTAGTTCTCAGCTGGATAAAAGCTACCGCATCTCCCTCTATCAAAACCCTCCTAATCTCTTGCACTTCAGCATACGAAGCTTGGACCCTCCTTGAAAAGAGACTCTCACCACTGTCCAAAACTCACTTACGCACACTCCGTGATCAAATTCGTAGCCTAAAGAAAGAACCAGAAAAAGCAATGACAGAATATCTCCTGGATGCCAAATCTCTTTATGATCAACTTGCTATTGCCGGGTCGATGATGACAGAAGGAGAACTCATCGAATTTATTCTCGATGGCTTGGGGCACGAATACAAGGAGTTTACAACTTCATTGCATCTCCGTTCGTCCTTCACTTTCGACGAGTTCTATGATCTCCTCATCCAAGAAGAACACCTGATCAAAAGGATGTCATCTCTCTCTATTTCTACAGGAACAGCTCTTGTCGCTGATCGGACCTCAAATAATCAGCAGAACCACTCAAATCCTCGACCTTACACCGACAACAACAACAGGCACAACCGTGGAAAGGGACGTGGTCGTGGTCGCGACTGGAACTCAGGTCGTGACAATAGTTATCGCAACGGCGACCGTAATTGGACCTCTAGTAATCGGCAAGGCAAGTGGGCTCAGTCTTCTAATAATAATCATCGTGGGTTTTCAGAACATCCATCCTCAGATAATCGGCCTCCCCTCCTTCCAACGCCGTCTCCTCAACAGCACCACCAATTCTTAGTTATTTGTCAACAATGTAACAAACCTGGGCACACGTCTCGGGTTTGTCCTGAACGCGGAAATTTTGCTTACGTTGCTGAAGCCAATGAAAGCACCTCCTCCGTGTCTGGACCAGTCAGCAAAAATTGGGTTGTCGATTCAGGAGCAACCCATCATATGACATCGGATCCTTCCTTGCTTTCCCATGTCCAACCATACACAGGTAACGACTCAATTATCGTAGGAAATGGTAACCAGTTGCCTATCTCCCATATTGGTAAAACCACTTTATCATGTTCCCATGGCTCTCTAGTGCTGCATGATGTCTTGTATGTTCCTGCCATCACAAAGAATCTTTTATCTATAAGACGTTTTTCACGTGACAATAACTGTTACTTTGAGATGGATTATAATGGTTTTCGTGTGAAGGACAACAAGACGGGGAAAATTTTACTTATTGGGAGTAGCCATGGAGATCTCTACTACATCCGTGCAGACCCGCAAGTTAGGAGCAAGCTCGTGTTCTATGGAGAAAGAACAACCCAGGACGTGTGGCACACCCGACTTGGACATCCCTCCTCTGATATTCTGCGAGTGTTGGTGAATAAATACCACTTACCCATTAGTGGTACTATGGCCTTTAATAAAAGTTGTCATATTTGTCCACTAGGCAAGGCCTGTAGACTCCCTTTTTCTTACCGTACTTCTAATACACAAAATCCTCTTGAGTTGTTGCATCTTGATATATGGGGACCATCTCCTATGTTATCAAACTATGGCTATAAATTCTATTTGTCAATTGTGGATGATTATTCTCGCTTTGTGTGGTTATTTCCATTGGCAAGAAAATCAGATGTGATGTCTACCTTCATTACTTTCAAAAAGATGGCAGAAAATCGATTTACCAAGACAATTAAAATGTTGCAAACTGATGGTGGTGGTGAGTTTACTAGCCGTGTTTTTGTCAACTTTCTTCGTGATAATGGTATATCCCAACAGGTGTCATGTCCCTACAAGCCACAACAAAATGGCACCGTCGAAAGGAAGCATCGACATATAGTTGAGATGGGACTTTGCTTACTTGCTCAATCACACTTGCCATCTAATTTTTGGGTTGAGGCATTCACTACAGCAGTGTTTCTCATAAACCGTTTGCCCATGACTCACCTTGGTAATATATCCCCATATGAAAAATTATTTCACCAATCCCCAGATTACAGGTTTCTTAAAGCATTTGGCTGCACATGCTTTCCTCACATGGTACCATATAATAAGCACAAGCTCATGCCTAAATCCATAAAGTGCATATTCATTGGTTATGACAACAAATACAAGGGATATCGATGCTTAGATGTGGCCTCAGGTAAAATCTATATTTCTCGTAATGTTCAATTTGATGAACTTACTTTCCCTTATCAGGAGCTTAAATCAAAGGTGTCACCAAGTGGGCAGTCACTGCAATCCATTCCATTGGAGTTCTCTATCCTTTCACAGCAAAGAAATATTCCAGACAAGCCATCTCCTTTAAATGATGTAACTCCAGCAGCTGATTTTGGCACTCCAAGTGTACACACCAGCAACCTTAGAGAGCCCATTCAGCAAGAGCGTGATCAAGCACCTCTCTTGCCAATGCCAGCCCACACAGATGGCCCAATTGATTCAATTCAGCCCAGTGACAGTGTCTCTCATATTCCTGATCCTCTCAGCAGTCCTCTTATTTCACGTGCCAACAATCCTGATGCCACTCCAATATCTCCATCTACCCCCCAATCTTCACCAATGCCACCCAAATTTAGGAGCCTTGATGAACTCAACAGACTTATCCACGGTCCACCTTCGCATCCACTTCCGCAAGGATTAACAGCAAGTCTTAAAGATCCTTTATCACTGGAACCTTCCAGCTACACTCAGGCCTCCAAGTTTCCTCATTGGCAAGAAGCCATGACAGAAGAATATGATGCCCTTATGCGTAATCAGACTTGGTCCCTAGTTCCTATCTCCCCAAATATGAATATTGTGGGATGTAAGTGGGTCTTTCGCGTCAAACGTAAGGCCGATGGCACCATTGAGAGACATAAAGCCCGTCTTGTGGCCAAGGGATATAATCAAAAGGAAGGATTTGACTACTACGAGACCTTTAGTCCTGTTGTTAAACCTGCCACTATACGCACTATTTTGGCCTTGGCGGTTTCACAAAATTGGATCTTACAGCAACTTGACGTACGCAATGCTTTCCTCAATGGTATTTTACAAGAAGAAGTCTACATGGTGCAACCCCCTGGCTTTGTCGATCCTCTTCACCCTAAGCACGTATGCCGACTTCACAAGGCACTTTATGGACTCAAGCAAGCCCCCCGAGCTTGGTTTCAGCGCCTTACTTCCTTTTTACTTGGTCAAGGCTTCCTTCATAGCAAGTCTGATGCATCTTTATTCATCCATCACTCCTCCACTTTTTCCATTTATGTGCTAGTATATGTTGATGATCTTATTGTCACAGGCCAAAATGCTTCTGTCATCAACACATTCATTGACAAATTATGCTCCACATTTGCAAGTCGAAAATTGGGTGCTCTCCATTTCTTCCTTGGCATGGAAGTCACTCGATGTGCCAATCAGTTGTCCTTGTCTCAAGCCAGATATGCTTCAGATTTATTAAAGAAGTTTAAAATGGACCTCTGCAAACCTTGCCCTACACCTTTGCTTTCCTCTCAACGACTCTCTGCTCATGATGGTGATTCCCTTTCAGACCCTGAAACCTATCGTAGCATGGTTGGAGGACTTCAATATCTCACTTTATCTCGCCCAGACATTGCATATGCCGTCAACCAAGTCTGTCAATACATGCACAATCCCAAGACTACTCATCTACAAGCCGTCAAACGCATTTATCGTTACATAAAAGGGACTATTGAACATGGCCTTATTTATCGCTCTTCCCCTGATTACACATTACGCGCCTTCTCTGATGCAGATTGGGCCGGCTCTCTTGACGACCGTCGTTCAACTAGTGGGGCATGCATCTTTCTTGGTCCCAACATTCTCACCTGGACCGCCAAAAAGCAATCCACCGTTTCTAGGTCCAGCTCAGAAGCCGAGTATAGAGCCCTTGCTACAACAGTTGCTGAACTTCAATGGTTTCGTTATCTTTTCCGTGAACTTGGGGTTCCGCTTCGCACTCCACCATGCGTCTTTGTCGACAATATTTCTGCCCTTCACATGGCCGCAAATCCCGTCTTCCATGCTCGCACACGTCATATTGAAATTGATTATCATTTTGTTCGTGAACTACTGGCACGTGGAGTTCTTCGCACACGCCATGTCTCTTCCCAACATCAATTAGCCGACATTTTTACCAAAAGTCTCTCCAGAGAACGGTTCTCCTTCCTTTCTGGCAAGCTCAATCTCCACTTGGTTCCGTTTCGCTTGAGGGGGGGTGAAGAGAACGACAATCAAGCCAAGAATCCCACTATCTCAAGTCAACCTCCAATCACAACGTGATTGGTACAATTTATGTACAAATCCCTGTAATCATGTATTTTCCTCTTTTGTTATAGTTGACCACCGCTAGAATCCTGTATATATGGTGTATCTCAATATGAATCAAATCATCGAGTGATTCAACCCAAACTTCTCTCTTGTCTATTTTTCTACAACCGCCAGTAAAAGTGACACAAACCCCATAAGCATCAGCTCTGCAAAACAAACAGAACAATAAACTTCAGTTAATTAACCCAATACAAGTATCAAATAGTTTGGTGGATATTGCACCTGATTTAAGCTTCTCAACTGCCTCCGTCAAGGCATTTTTCCGATGCCTCTTGAGAAACTGCAACAAATTCAAACGTGTTCTAGCATATCAAATTCATCGTCACACATACTTTTTCATGACATGTTATGTTATCATACTGTTATTACGAAAGAAAGAAAAAAGAAGAGCTTACGTTGACAAGGAGGTTGATGGAGTGCTCGAGGAAGATGGAGACGAAGATGAAGATGAAACAAACGGTAGCGAGTGCCCATGTCGGGGTGTATTCGAGAGTGGCACCGCCGGATCCGGAGTCCGCTGCCATGACGGCCTTAATCTCTTCTCAACTGGATGTGATTGTTCTTGTTTGATTGTTCTTGGTCTTATCTTTATGTGATATTCCTAATTTCTTCAACAATTTATGGCTGAAAATTTTCGGACTTCTAGAAATGAAACTTTGATAATTCGAAATCGTTGTCTCTCTCCCATTCCCACTTGAGATTAAATACCCAAATACCTGTCATGTAAAGCTACTGTATTTATATACAAGTCTCTGCTATATCATGGTGTAAGTCAACCGTCAAATATGTTATGAAAGAGAAATTTACAAAAATTCAACTTTTTGATGTGCCACCGTTTCTCTTTTTCTTTCATATGACAACCGCGTAGCAATGGGAGCTTGTGACTTTCTATACATCGGTCAATTCTGATGATCATATATAAAATTATTTTCTGAATAAATGTGGGACAACAAAATAAAAATTTTAAAACTTTTTCTGATTATATTACTCTAATAGGTATTTTTGGCACGAGAAAAAAGATATTTGTATAAATAGTGAGACAAGAAAAATCTTTTAGCATTGTTGATGCTCTTTTTCGGAGAGGGTCAACTTAGAGAAAAAGGGATTTGCCTTCAGCAGGGAAAGGGTCTGGGCCTTCAATAAAGGCTAGCCTGCAGAAGACAAAAATAGGGGAAGCAGTCGTCAAGCTCCGGGCACCGGTGTGGTGCCGGCCGAAGGCTCTCCGATGCTTAAGTCAGCTAAGAAGGGTAACTTTTGCAGAGTAATAGTAAAAGGCA